TTATGCAATTCTTTTAGTTGTAGTCGCTATGCGCCACCGCCACAGTGGCGTAACTACCTGGCTTTAGACGACCCCCAAAACTGTATGCAATCGCTAATAGTATATATTGGCACACATATGGTAGAAGCAGTTCCGAGTGGAGCGCAATAATGCCGAGGGACCTGTACATACAAATGAAAAGGTTCTCCACATTTATAATGGACATCCTCCCTTTAGAAATAGGTTACCTTATTGTTCCTTTATACCCAACATTGACAATGATTGCTTACGCAAGCACTCTCATCGTCACATTAATTCGAAAACAACAGTCCGGAAAAATGCAACTATATGAGAGGTCCGATAATAAAGGGCGCCCAATTGACTATCGACCATGGACAGGACTCATGGATAAAGATGATAGTGAATTCTATAAGAAATGGTCTAATAACAACAATCCATCATCTGTTGCTTTAATCATCAATTCCGGTACCAGCACAGGAAAATCATCCCGTTTCCCTTACGCATTATATTTAAGTGATCTAAGTATTCGTAAGAATGGTAAATATTATTCAAAAAAAGGTGGAGGTGCCAAATTTAAAATGATCATACTGACCATCACTAATCTCTTAAGAGAAAATTATAAGATTGACGGTACCAACCGAATTAAGGACCCATCAGACATAACACTTCATGATCCATATCAACATTACCTTCAAGATCTGACAACAGGCAGATCCATTTACACTCCAGCAACATTCTTGGTCATGACATACGGGCACTTTCACGAGAGAATTAAAAACTGACCGGCATCTTCAAGATTTTTTAAATGAAGGTATTATTATGTTTGACGAATTCCATATATTATCGACTGATATCCTACAACTCGAATCTCTACAATTTCCCGATGGTTCCCCCCGATACCACAAGTTAATCCTATCGTCTGCAACACCGGCAGGTATTGATGAAATACCTTCTCTTACTTTTAACTCTGGCTTACCTGATAGATACAAAAAAACTATAATTAAACTAGAAAATGAGAATGTCGTAGACATGCACAACTTCATTTGCGAACTTCCTGAATATAATGAATTTACAAGTCAAGATGGTGATTTTCTTGTCTTTCAGCCCTGGGTGAGTAAGTTCGAGGAAACTGCCCAAGGGTTTCAAGAAGCTGTTCCAAAGCGTGTCACATATACCCTCAGCCGAGAAAATGTCCGTAAGGAAATCCCTACTGATAAAACATTAATTATTTCAAACATTGGTAAAATCGGGTTTGACCCACCCGGTAAGAAATGTCTCATAGATGTTGGGAAAACTCTTGGTAATGATCGAAATGAATTTAAGAGCGGCATATGGAGTAGTCCTGCCGAATACCAACAAACAATAGGAAGGGTCGGTAGATCAGGAGATGGCATTATTCTTACACACCCTAAAGCTGGAACAGGACCAGTTCTAAGACCGTATGGTTCTCTTTTACATATGGCATCACGAACCTGTACCTCATTCTTAAAAATACCAATAATTGACACCTCAGAAGGTTACACTTATTATCCCGCGATTAAATTCATTGACAATAAATTCACAGACCAACAACAACACCTTATTGCTCTTGTCATCGCACTATATGGTGATAATATTAATGAAGACCAAATACGAAATTTATGGTTCAAAATCATCAAAAATGATTTATCTGATGAGACCCTATCCGGATACTACCGTATTTTAGGGTACAACCAGGATTCACCCGACAACTTTTTAGGCAATCGGAAAATGTGTACCAGGTTGGTGGCGCAGACAAAATTCTTAAAATTCGTTAAGATTAGGGTTAGGGTCAGG